GCCGAGGCCGTGTAAAAGGTGGGATAGTGAGGTGAAAGATAACGCGGAGCAGAGGACTGCGAAAACCTGGTCTCTTGTAAACATACCACGTCAATTTGTTGCGATTTAAGGTGATGAAAGACTTTAGCCCGCTTCTGAGGCGAATTGAAGCCTTGAACATTCTGCGAGTGTATTTTCAAAAGGGGCGAGGCCATGGCGATATCAACGCAACACGCTCGGCAGAAAAACCCATAAAGCAGCTAGCAAGTTCCGCTTCCAATGGCGAGCGGACCGTGGCGTCCTGGAACCCTGCAGAAAACAAGAACAAAAAAAAAACCAAAGGAGAAAAAAGACAAAGAAAGAAAAAAGGAAAAAGACACAAAAAGTATATACAATAGTGCAATTGTGTCACGCCAATGGTGACGCGCATCCTACAAAAGGAAGGATACCAGTTAGGGGTGGCTCTACCACCCGGACACATGGCTGCAAATGAAAACATCAGAAACTAAAGCCCCCAGGGGGCAAAAGGGCAATAAGGCAACAAACATAATCGAACGGGGTCCGAAGCTATAAAACTAAGGGTCCCAGGAGCGAGGCCTCCATGATGACCTCCCATAAAAACCCAAAGAACCTTGGGGCCAACCCCCTCCCACCCAGCCGGGCCCGCCAGATCAACCTCCCACCCCGAAGCCCGAGGGAACCCTCACCCCATGCTACCAACGGAAACCAAAATACCCTCACCCAGGCCCAAGATAGGTTGCGGCAGCGGAAAGTCATAAGTCTTGAGTCCGCGAGGGGACCCCCTCCCACCCAACCAGGGAAGGAACCCAAGGGGGTAAACCAGATCAGTCCCAACCCGGAATGCTGACAAACCGGGGGAGCCCCAAGGGCCAAACTCACGGTCCCGCCAGAGAAGTCCATCGCTGAGATGACACACGGGAAGTCCAAGACACATCCTCAGCCCGGAGAAGAACAAGAAGGACTTGATCGCGAAGGGGTCTGGGGGAGAGCCCTCTTCCTATCGGACGACCGCTCCCAGGTGCGGCCCGGAGGAAGCGGCCGTGCCGGAGATCCTGATGAATGAGCCGGGCTCCGATCCGCAGAATCAGGCGAAAGAAGGCGCAAGGACTCCAGCAGAGAATGGGCCTCCTCCGGCGTAGCCACAGAGTGACTGCGGCCCTGGTAGGTGAAGGTGAGGCGAAACGGGAAGCCCCAGGCGTATTTAATACGGTGTTTCACCAGGACCGAAGTGAAGGGCTTCAACTGGCGGCGCTTCTGAAGAGTGGTCTGGGAGAGGTCCGCAAAGAGCTGGTAGCGATGCCCCTGGAAGCTGAGGTCAGGGTTGTTCCTAGCCGCCAAGAGGATAGTTTCCTTAGTGCGGTAATACGTAAACTTGATGATAATGTCCCTGGGGGGCCCCTCCGGTCGTCTGGGGCCCAATGCACGATGTATGCGGTCAAATTCAAGCCGGTCTATGGGAATAGCGGGTGTCAGCTCCTGGAACAGAGCAGTAGCAGTAGAAGTAAGATCTGCGACCGTTTCCGGGATACCCCTTAACCGCAGATTGCCACGGCGGGAACGGTTTTCGAAATCCTCAAGCCGTAGTAGCGTGTCCGCCAATTCTTTCTTGAGGTCGCACAGATCCTGTTCGTGATTTTCCATGACCGTGACTGCCGCGTCCATCTTATCTTCAAGGTCGTTCGTCCGATTGCCCAACTCCCGAATTTCCCGTGAAAGACAATCGGCCAGCTTGGAGGTAGCGGAGGACAACTCGGACTGCAACATGCACTTAAAGCGGCGTAGGAGCTCAGCATCCCACAGGGATGGGATCGGAGACTGCAGGGATGGCTCTGGTGCCAGGTCCTCCCCACTGCCAGGGTCCGACCCACCCAGGGATGGTGACAGCGAGGGACCCAAAATTGCGTCTGGGGCTCTATCTGAGGTCCCCGGCGGGAGCCGCGAATCTGCGGCCGGGGTCTTGGAAGTGTCTGGCGGCCGGCCAAAAATCGAGGCCGCGGCTTCAACCGCGATCTCCGGCGGGTAGGCCGCAAACTCCGGAGCGGCCCGCCGGGAGCTGGAGGCACGGGCGGCCGGCGTTTTTTTTTTTTGCCCATCAGGGCACCAGGGAGACAGGGGGCCAGAGAGGAGACAGGGGGACCCCCCCTGGAGGGCGAAGATCGGCCGATGTGTCCGGCGGCCGAGGTGGGATTTTAAAAAGCAGCCATCCTGGTTGCTGCTCACGAGCGCCCCCCGTCCCCAACACTTTTGAATGGCCTTTTCCTGACAATCCTCTCCAGGCTGCAGTCATCCCTGCTGCTTGTGCACCTTTTTCTTCCACACTTTTCCCTTCCACATAACTTTCTATTAATGTGCTTTGATACAGCACTTTGGGAACATCCAGCTTCTTTTGCAATTACCTTTTGAGGCTTTCCCTCCTATGGAGGGTGTCAATGATGGTTTTCTGCACAACTGTCAGGTCAGCAGTCTTTCCCATAATTGTGATTTCTACTGAAACAGACTGAGAGACAATTTAAAGGCTCAGGAACCCTTTGCAGGTGTTATGGCTTAATTAGCTGATTAGAGTGGGACACTTTGAGCCTAGAATATTGCACCTTTTCACAATATTCTAATTTTCTGAGATTGTGGATTTGGGGTTTTCATGAGCTGTAAGCCATAATCATCACAATTATGACAAATCACGGCTTGAACTATCTTGATTTCCATGTAATGAGTCTATCTCATATATTAGTTTCACCTTTTAAGTTGCATTACTGAAATAAATGAACTTTTGCACGATATTCTAATTTTTTGAGTTTCACCTGTATGGTGGGAGTGTTCAAAAATACAGGAGTATTGGGAGAAAATAGTGCATCTGATTCGGGAAAATTACTGAAGTGGATATTAAATTAGAACCAGAGACTTGCCTTTTTCATAGCACAGAGATGTCAGTTAAGAAGTATAAAAAATCGGGTATATGGTATTTTTGAATGCAGCAAAGGGTCTGATACCCAAGTTTTGGCGGAGATGGGAGGTGCCGAAAGTAGAGGATTGGGTTGATCGGGTTGACCAACTATGTAAAATGGAAAAACTGTATCATATGAATGAAGATAAGATGGAGAGATATTATGTGACATGGAACAGATGGGAAGAATTCAAAGATAAAAAGTTAAAATTAAATGAGCATTGTATGAGGGTATAATTTAAAACAACATGAGTATGTCTCGCTCTTCTCATTTGAGGTCCCAGGAAGATTAGGAAAATGCAGAGTGGTGGGGGGGTGGGTAGGTGAGGGGAGAGGAGGGTGTAGATAGAAAGAAAGGTGGGGGGTCGGGGAAATATAAGTGGAATGATATATGTGATATAAATGTGTTAATATTTTAAAAAAGAAAATGTTTGTATAATATATCGGCTTGAAAATAAATATTTAAATTAAAAAAAAAGAGAATACCTAAACATCTGTAATTGCAACAATTTTCTGGGTGAAGTGGTGCATTATCTATCAGAAAAGCAGGGGTACCAATATTTTTGGCCATGAATGTACAGCCCATGGTGTACGAATACGTTGCCTGTGCCCTATACTATACAATTAAGATATGTCCTCTAAGACTTAGAAGATCTCTTTATACCCAAATGGACATGGCAAGATGGAGGAGAATAAAGTGTTACAATGTCCAGGCTTTTGGCCAGAGTGAGCATATTAATATCAGCAAGCATCTTGTGTGAAGCCATAACATCAGGAGGCCTGGGGTAGAGAGATTTTCCACTACTACCTCCAATTCTCAAGTACAGATGGTGGGATTGAGGAAAGAGCTTTATGTTTCTGAGCTGTAGACAGAGATGGCCGTATTAAAGACATCAGTTGTCTGAGGGATTAAGACACAGTTGCAGAAAATTCCTACTTGGTCAGGCAGGCCGCATGTTGTGCACCTAAGATGAAGTTAGAATCGGATGCAGAAATCAGTGTTAAAATCTGGTCCTGCTGCGGTGCAAGAGAAACATCATTAATCTGAGGTTGTAGGCCTTAGACAGAGCAAATGTTTGCCTGACCTTTTGCTAAGGTTCCATCTTACCTGATTTCCACTATTTCTATGGGTGAGGGTAATCCCCTGTGGGGGCTCACGAAGTAGATTGTGAAAAAAAGGTAAGTGTGTCCAGAAGGAAAACGAAGTAACCTGGGTGCATAATGTGCTGTCCTCATGGAGAAGAGGTCAGAGAGAAGCATCCGAGTACCTTACAAGGGACTCTAGGCAGAAGTAGCTGTAAAGTGTGTGACCTGAGTTGTGATTTAACTAGCCATCTACCTGATATTGAGTGCAGAGTGACTGAATTTTTAGCACAAAGTTTGACATGTATTAACTTTTACAGTATAAACGTTACAAACAGAACGTCAGTCTTTACAGTATTGGTCAGAGACGTTGGGTGACCCTAGTCCCTATATTGGGTCTAGGCTTAACCTGTCATCGTAGACTTATACCTGAAGGGGTTTTCGGGGTCTGAGTTCCATAGGGAAGGACCACAGCCCTGGACTTCATGCTAAATTCACGCATTACACTGTGATGATGTGAACACCGCCATGCAGGATCCAGTGGCCCAAGCAAAATCACAGGCTGTCTCCACAGTATGGGGTCAGGATGCAGCTCCAAAGGTTTTATCAAAGTTGCACTGATCCAAATACACTGCTTCTATTGTTAGCACACAGTGAAGAGTTGAACGAAGAACCCAAAGATAAAATAAACTAATTAAGCAAAGAGTGATTTCTTTGTAAGGAAGAAAAGGTCCACCACCTAAGGACATTATCAGACATACTGACGACTCATGAAATGTGGTAGGGTTTTAGCGAAGAAGCATTAGGGTGTCCTCCGAAAGATTTGCCAATGTCCAATCACCTGAAGGTACAAGCCTGTAACAATGGGTCGGTACAGGCCTGTGTCCTATATTTTACAATTAAAATAATACATTTGATTGTAAACACTGCAAAACTCACTAAAACTGTGAAAGTGCATTGCACATATTTCTCTTACCTCTTCTATAAAGAGCCAGGGATGACATGGCCCACCTAACAAAGAGGGCTTCTTGAGTCCATGTTCAAAGATTGCCTTAATACTTGGGCATAATGTTCCCCGAACCAAATCTGTGATCCCTTCAGTCACAGAGTCGTCCCCAGCAATTGAGTACTGTGTGAAGATGCAAAATAAGTGTCAAATGTAAGCACTGGAATACAGTTTGAACCAATTCATAGGGATAATAAGGACTGTCTTGATTTGAAGTCCCTTAAAGAGGAATTGGAAACCCATTATTTAGCAGCATGGGGAGAAGAACTCCTACTGTTGTAAACAATTAGGAAAAGCAGCATTAAAGTAGAACTAAAAGCAAAAACGTTTTCTTTCATTTTGGACTGTGTAGAGAAGGGTGAAAACCTGTTAGTTATTTTTGCCATCTGTGTCCCATTGGGAAGATTTCTCTTCACATCCCTTCTCAGAGCCAAAACAGGAACTGAAAGGTAATCCCTTTAAAAGTAGGAGAATCATCAGAATTAATGCTCCAATTGCAAGATTTCCCCTCTATTCTGGTTTTGTTGACAACCTAGAGTTTGGCATTTTTTCCACATTAACTCTTGGTCATAATGGTGAACAGGACAAATACAAAGAATGGATCTGTATAATGGGGGCACAGGCAGCAATATCATCCTGCTGTTTGTAATACTGACTAGTGAAAAGAAGTATCCTTAAGTGTAATAATGATGTTTGGCTGCAATTAAAGTTATCTGGGCAAGCTACATTCTCTGATATACAAGAACTCAAACTTTGACATTGATTCTCCATTTTCTGAGAACCAGTTGACTGAATAGGGTTTCTGACCTTTCAGTGAACTTACAGCCTACTGGTATGTGGATCATTTTGCAGTTGATTTCTACTGCTTTTCTTCTAATAAACAGGAGCCTATAACTTGCTGTTAAAGTATCCCCAACACTCTTCGTCTGTCAGTTTTTACACATCCTGAAGAATACTAAATAAATTGCAAAGTAACTAAACATTCTTGGTCTCACCTCTTTACTTCTTTCATCAAGAATTTCCACAAATTTTGCGGGAAACCAGCCTAAAAAAAAAAAAAAAAAAAAGAACATTGCTATTGCAAATGGTCAGATTATACCAGATTTTAAAAAGTTAACAATTTGTAGAGGAAGATTAAAAAAGAAGTATGGCCAGGGTTGTGGAACTTTTTGAAAAAAAAAAAAAAAAAAAAAAAACTACTTATCCGGGGACTAAATCTGAGGTGCTTTTAGGAATGTCTGGGGGCTTTTAAAAACAAAAGGGGCTTAATGGCGGCTTAAACGTTTAAGATTTTTAACATTGCACCGAGTAAACAGATATCAAACATGTAAAATCTTAAAATAATCAATAAATTGCAGCGCTAAAGAGTGCAAAACAGAAATGACATAGATAAATAAATAAAGAGTCTTATAAAGTGCAATGTGACAATCGTGGTTCATTAGATGGCTGTTGGATTACCGTGACTTCCGTGGCTTGTAAAAGATGAGTGTACAATGCACTAACCAGATAGCACAAAGTTTTGTGCGTTGGAGTAAATAAGACCTACTCCAAGGTACTCTGGAAGCAGGAACTCTGCAGACAGGTGAAGTCGTCAGGTGGAGTTCAGTCACCAGATGTCATCAGACCAAGGCAGATTTCCTCATTCCAGTATAGTGTATGATCATCATATTGGATACATCATGTAGTACGGATTTCAGGATGTGTATTTACACAAAACGCCTCAGGGAGACCCCCCTGTACATGGAGTGCTGACCTTCTATACCGTTCTAAACATCTCTGGATGTAAGTGTCCGTTTTTTAACTTTTTGCTTACAATTGTAACTCCACTTGTCTAATAAATACTACACTATTGGAGTTTTTTCTCTTTCTCTGGGCTCATTTTTTGGCAATTGTGAGCCCCCCCCCCCCCTCCTTTAAGGTGCACCATGGTAGGCGACTTACACTTAAGTGTATGATCCCCCCGGTGGCTGAAATCCGTACTACATGATGTATCCAATATGATGATCATACACTATACTGGAATGAGGAAATATGCCTTGGTCTGATGACATCTGGTGACTCAACTCCACCTGACGACTTCACCTGTCTGCAGAGTTCCTGCTTCCAGAGTACCTTGGAGTAGGTCTTATTTACTCCAACGCACAAAACTTTGTGCTATCTGGTTAGTGCATTGTATACTCATCTTTTACAAGCCACGGAAGTCACGATAATCCAACAGCCATCTAATGAACCACGATTGTCACATTGCACTTTATAAGACTCTTTATTAATTTATCTACGTCATTTCTATTTTGCACTCTTTAGCGCTGCATTTTATTGATTATTTTATGTACCGTTGGAGGATTTGAGGTATTTCCTCTCATTTTGCTGGCCGCTGATCTTGTTTGTTGTTTTATGTGTCACCCAGCGCTTGTATATTTACTGCTTTATGTAAAATCTTAAATTTGTGTGTACTTGTGAAATGGCGACAAACGTTAGTACCCTATATTGTCTATAGGTGACGCTTTTAAAGCCTCTTATAGGTTACCAGTTTAACATTACAGAGGAGGTCTGGTGCTAGAATTATTGCTCTCATTCTGGAGCGTGCGGCAATATGTAACATGTGTATCGCAATCAGCGTTTCCATGCGTAGGTGCCCCAGTGTGTGTTTTTACATTTGTACGTGCATATATATGTGGGGGCCTCAACATATTTTTTTTTTGGGGGGGGGGTTATGTGCCTGGGTGTAACTTAATTTTTTTACAATTACTTTTTTTTTTTTTATTAAACTTAGCCTAACAAAAAGTCCCCTATCTGATGATTTTTGGGTGAAAGGTACTCTTTTATTGAGACATCCAGGGTCTAAAAGACCCTAGATGTCTCCCCTGTACTCCACTGGATGTAATGCAGTGCACACAGCACTGCATTACATTCTTTCCCAGCCTCGGAGGCTGGGAAATCAGTCAACGGGGACCCAGAAGTGACAAGAAGGAGAGCAGATGTGTTCGCTCTGTTCCCTCCCCTATACTCGCCAGCACACGCTGAACTGGTCCCGGGTCCGCAGATGGGCAAGTGGAGCCCAGAAGACATAGCAGGCAGGGGAGGTGGAGGCTGGCACTGTGGTGGGCTGTGTGCAAGCAATCGGGCGCAGCAGCCCGAATGCTTCCACCTGACAGGTGAGCGCTGCTGCTTGCCTGCAGCAGGGCTAAAGGCTAAAAAAAAAAACCTACCTGCCGGCGCCTATAACTACATATCCCGGGCGTCGGGCGATATAAATTGAACATTCTTGATGGCATTTTTTTTTTTTTTTCAAAAGCATACTTATCTAGGTGGATGCAGCATCTGTCCCCCACCGGCTCCAAGGGTGAGAACTCAGCGATCCCATATAACCACTGATCGCTGAGTTCTCACAGCCGTTCTGAGCAGACCCCCCCCCTTCACATGCTCACTGGAGTGTTGGGCTGCGGAGGGGGAGGGAACGGCTGGCTCTGGCTCTCAGCAGATCACAGAGTCTGTGCCAGGTACTGCTCCAGACTCTGAGGTGGATCCTGACTGTCAGCTTAAAACGAGTAACAGAAGTGCAGAACGAACTGCATTCCTGTGATCCATAGAAGTACAGCCAAAAGAGCTTTGGCTGAACTTATCCCTTAAACCAGACCACGGACCTTGAAATTCTGCATGCATAACCAACTGTCCTTGGGTTTAACATTTAAAAACAATACAGATATACTAGGTTGACAAAATAACCTCAATTGACCATGTTTTCTATTTTGCTCTATCACTAGCTCCCTCCTGCAGCCAGGTAGACCTAACAACATGATACTTAAGATCATAAGCTTAACAATGGCATGCAATGCCAAGCTGCAGTTTCTAAAGCGAGCAAAATCCTCTCTTGTATTAAAAGAGGTATAGACTCCAGAGATATATCATTTTACCCCTGTACAAATCATTAGTAAGACCTCATCTGGAATATGCAGTTCAGTTTTGGGCACCAATTCACAAGAACACTTGAGAAAGTGTAGAGAAGGGCAACCAAACTGATAAGAGGCATGGAGGAGCTCAGCTTTGAGGAAAGATTAGAGGAACGGAATTTATTCTCTTTTGAGAAAAGGAGATTAAGGGGGGATATGATCAACATGTATAAATACATCAGTGGTTCATATAGTGAACTCGGTGTAGAGTTATTCACTCTTAGGTCATCACAGAGGACAAGGGGGGGTACTCTTTACATCTAGAGGAAAAGAGATGTAATCTCCAAATATGGAAAGGTTTCTTTACAGTAATAGCTGTGAAAATGTGGAATGAACTTCCTTCAAGTGTTGTTTCTGGCCAGCTCAGTGGATTTCTTTAAAAAAAAGGCCTGGATTCTTTCCTAGATACACATAATATAACTGGATACTACCATTTATAGGTAAAGTTGATCCAGGGAATATCAGATTGCCTCTAGGGGATCAGGAAGGAATTTTTTCACTTGCAGGAGCAATTTGGATTATGCTTTGCTGGGTTTTTTTTGCCTTCCTCTGGATCAATTGTGGGTATAGGATTATAACTTTTTTTTTTTTTTTCGGTTGAACTGGGTGGACTTTTGTCTTTTTTCAGCTAGACTAACTCTGTAACTATGTGACTATGATACAGAGTCAGGATATTGATGGTTAGTACACACAATGAGAAAATCGGATGGAAAATACCGCTTTCGGAATATCTGTCCGATAATCTCATCATTAGTACACATCTTTCGAGAGAGGATCATGACAGTTCATACAGAATTATCTGGAGGGATATGCACGTAAACATATTCTCATGTGATACCAGATTGAAAGATATTCATCTGTAAAAATTTGACCGACCAAGACCATGCATGCTCGAAAACAAAAGAATACTGTACATTACATCACTGCTGAAGTTGTCATACAAGAATTTTCGTAACTTTAGTAACTTATTCATTTTCGATAAGAGACTAGCATACAAAAAGAAAAAATAAATGGATGATCGTTCGTCCAATATTCTCATCATGTGTACAAGGCTTGAGAAAGGTCAGATTAAAGCAATTCATTTTATGTCTATAGACAATGTTAAATGTTTCATATTCAAGAACGGTAACAGAACCTACTACAAAGAGATATTATAACCAATGACTATAGAAGTGCAGTGAAAGGGTATAAATTTAGTCACCCATCTGGTTAGGAAAATGAAAAAACACTTTTATAAAGTATTTCATCATACTTTTATAAAGTATGTCTTTAATAAATGCTATGATGGTTGCAACGAGGACTATAGATAAGGGCAGGGATATGGGGGTTCACATCTTCCCCAGATGTTTCATGGTGCAGAAGCTATTGCTCACAAGTGCACTTGCAGGTGATGCTCCTGCTGCCTGTCAGTTTTCAGAATGAGGGAGGCTCTCCTGATCTTCCTCATGGCACAGTTCACAGGACATCATCTCACTCTGAATGGCCTAGTCTGGCAAACTGGTTTCATGGAGGGTTGGAGAGCTGTAACTGGTGAAGCTCTGTACTGGGGTTAAAAGAAGGGGGGAATATAACTTGGGAAGGGAGGTAATTATTTGTTGTATTCTGTCTATGGACTCCTAAGCCCTACACTCTGTTGCACACTCCTGCCCCCAGCACTCTGAGTTACACATGCCCCAGACATCAGCACTCTGTGTGTGTTATATGCACTTCTTACCCCAGCACTGGATGCATTACATGCACTCATGACCCCAGCATTCTGTGCATTATGCACATTTGACACAAGCACTGTGTGTTATGAACTTCTGAATGCTGCAATCTGTGCATTACTAACTCCAGACCCTACACTGTATACACTATGCTTTGCATTTAATACTCCTGGTCACTGCATGCTTTATATTGAACAGCTTCTGGTTGCTAAATGGTCATTGATCATATGGATTAAGTTCTTCCTGAAAATAGGGAAGGGGGGATCTGTAGTGAGAGGGACGTAATTTTTGTGCACACTTCTAACTCCTGCACTCTGCATTAAGCACTCCTAAATTCTGCTCTCTGTGTTATGCACTCCTTAAGCCTGTGCTCTGTGCGTTATGCACTCTGGACCCCTGCACTCTGTGTTATAAACTCCAGATCCCTGTGCATCACACATGCCTGACTTATGAGCTCTGTGCGTTACGCACTCCTGACCCCTGATCTCTGTGCTAATCACTCCTGATCCCTGTGTTCACTCCTGACCCTTGCGCTCCGTTTTTACCAACTACTGACCCCTGTCTTATGCACTCCTGATCACTGCACTCCATGCACTGCTTATTCCTGATCCCTGCACTGTTAGGCTATGCTGTGTATTTAAAATTCCTGACTGCTGCACTCTTCATATTTACAACAGATGCTGGTTGCTGCATAGTCACAGGCTATGTTAAGGAAATCCTTCCTTAACATACGCTGTGTGCAGAAAAACCTATGTAACAGAAGAATTAAATTTTTTACATATGACTGTGCTAAAATTCTTGCTTGTGGCACTTTTATTAAAGCATATTTTTAGAGTACAAGGACTATGCCATACATTACCATGTACACAGTGAGTAGGCTCAAGTGTTAAGCCCCCCACTGTACAATTTTGCCACAACACTTTGTCCTCTGCCCAACTTTATAATTACTCTCCTCTGGGGGCCCCAGGCTTAACCTTTCCCCCCTTTCAAGGAAAAAAAATATCTGAGGTCTTGGTTGTAGCAAACCATTCATAAGCATATACCCCTTAGTCCATTCAGTTCTCCAACCCAGCAGTGTTCATCCTTCTGGGAAATAATCTAAAAAAAAAAACAAAAAGAATATTTTATTGATGTTGTTATGATGCCCTCTCCCCTTGTAATTAAATATTTCTACCCAAGATACCGTGATGATGTCATTTTTGCGAAAGCCAAGTTCATCATCATCATGGCGCTCAAAGTCCAAGAGTGCCTTAGCTCTGCGACGCCTGCTTCGGGAGCATGACACATAATTCTCGTGATCTCTCTGATGGCTTTCCATAGAGTAGTCAGGTGTCAGGTCCTGGAAATAAAAAGCTACTTTTAACCATGGACATAAAATATAACCTGTTCCAATCTAAATATCTAAAAATCAAAACAGCTCAGAACATTCAGCAATAATATGTTAAACAGAGATTACTGTGTTTTAAAGTGTTTAAAGGTTTAAGCTGAACTCCAGAGAACAGAGACCCTTGCAGTGGGGTATCTAAGGGTACCAGTTTAAAGCACTATTTACTTACCTTATCCCTTGCTCCTGCAGGGTACCTCTACCATGCCACTAATCCTCTGAAACCTCTTCTCTTTGGCACTCAGGCCAGCATTCGCAGATGTGTTGTTATTTACAATGAAGGACCAACAGTGAGAATACTGACGCTCCATTCACAACCCAGAGTGTTGGAAAGAGGTGAGCATAGGCTGCCAGGAGGGATAAGGCAGGTAAATCTTTTTTTTTTCTCCCAGTAACATTAGCAAAAACAAGCATTTGACCCTTGAGGTGCAGGGGAAGCCGCAGTGCAAGGGTTTTTTTTTAGTTCCCCTGACTGTCAGCATTAAGGTTTTAAAAGCCTTGTTTTTATATATAGCGTGACAATGGGGCATTGCATTTGCATTTCTGTCATATAATGCACCACTTCACTGAGAAAATTGTTGCAATTGTAAATGTTCAGGCATTCTCATGATTATTTCTTTTGTTTGTGTTGGTATGGCACAAAAAAGTCGAGAAACAAAACCTAAATCTGACACATTCCACGCAAAACTCCAGAAATAGACTTGACAAAATTATTGGCAGCTTCTCAAAACTGTAAGAAATAATTGCATTCCAAGTTTGTGATGATCCTGTAATTTATAATTAATCTCACCTGTATCAATAATAGGTGCTGACAATATAAAAATCACACCAGCAACCAGTTAAATTGTGAAAAATTGACTAAACCTTTCCGTTGTGTGTCTCTGTGTGCAACATGGAGAATGGAGAAGAGAAAAGCAGCAAAGAATTGTCTGATGATTTGAGAACAAAAATTCTGGAAAAGCATGGACAATCCCAAGGTTACAAGTCCATCTCCAGAGATCTTAATGTTCCTGTGTCCACTATTGTGCGCAACATTGTCAAGAAGTTTACAGCCCATGGCACTGTAGCTAGTCTCCCTGGAAGTGGACGAAAGAGAAAAATTTATCAAAGATTGCACTGAAGGATTGTTTGAATGCTGGCTAAAGAACCTTGATCAACTTCCAGACAAATTCAAGCTGACCTTCAGGCACAGGCTACAACTGTGTCATCTCACACTAGACGTCGCCATCTGAATGGAAAGAGGCGCTATGGTAGGAGACTCAGGAGGACCCCACTGCTGACACAGAAACATAAAAAGGTCAGATTGGAGTTGGCCAAAACTTACCTGAGGAAACCAAAATCCTTTTGAGAGAATGTGCTGTGAACAGATGAAACAAAATTACAGCTTTTTGGTATAGCCCATCATTCTATTGTTTTCAGAAAAAGCAACGAAGCCATTAAAGAAAAGAATAACTGTGTGCACAATTATTAGGCAAGTATTTTGACCAAATCATCATTTTTATGCATATTGTCAAACTCCAAGCTGTATAAACTTGAATGCTTATTGTATGTAAGCATACCAGGTGATGTGTATTTGTGTAATGAGGGAGGGTGTGGCCTAAGGAGATCAACACCCTATATCAAGGTGTGCATAATTATTAGGCAGCTTCTTATCCTCAGGCAAAATGGGCCAAAAAAAAAAAATGAACGGTCTCCGAAAAGTCAAATATTATAAAATGTCTTTCAGAGGGATGCAGCACTCTTGAAATTGATAAGATATTGGGGCATGATCACAGATCACATTTTGTTGGAAATAGTCAACTGGGTTGCAAGAAACATGTTGAAAAAAAAAAGACGCAAATTAACTGCCAAAGATTTGAGAAGAATCAAACGTGAAGCTACCAGGAACCCATTCTCCAGTGCTGTCATATTCCAGAACTGTAACATACCGGGAGTGCCCAGAAGTACAAGTTGCTCAGTGCTCAGAAACATGGCCAAAGGTAAGGAAGGCTCAAACACAACCACCAATGAACAGATTTTTCAAAGGTTTTATGGACTGATAAGATAAGAGTGTCTCTTGATGGACCAGATGGATAGGCCAGTGGTTGGTTTGGAAACAGACAGAGAGCTCCACTATGATTCAGACGCTAGCAAGGTGGAGGTGGGGTACTGGTATGGGCTGGTGTTATTAAAGATGAGCTAGTTGGACCTTTTCGGGTTCAAGATGGACTCAAAATCAACTCCCAAACCTACTGCCAGTTTTTAGAAGACACTTTCTTCAAGCAGTGGTACTGAAAAAAGTCTGCATCTTTCAAGAAAACCGTGATATTTATGCAGGACAATGCTCCATAGCATGCATTGAAGCACTCCACTGCGTGGCTAGCCAGTAACAGCCTTAAAGATGAAAGAATAAGGACATGGCACCCTTCCTCACCGGACCTAAACTCTACTGAGAACTTGCGGACCCTTCTTAAAAGGGATATTTACAGTGAAGGAAAACAGTACACCTCTCTGAACAGTGTCTGGGAGGTTGTGGTTGCTGCTGCACAAAAAGTTGATTGTCAACAGATCAACTGTTGAACTAAAAAGAAGGACGGCTATATTGGTAAATGATTTTATTTTTTAAATGTCAGAAAAGTTTGTAAATTTTGAGTTGTTTGTTTATTATCCTCACTTTAACAGATGAGAATAAACAAGTGAGATGGGAACATTTTTGCTTTTCATTTAGTTGCATAATAATTCTGCACCTAATAATTGCCCAATAATTGAGCACACATAGATTTTCTCCTATGAAAGCCAAAACCTCACTTTTACTATCTTAAATATTCAGGTTTGAGGTTTATTAACATTTTGAATTGACTAAAAGCACTTTAGGTGTTCAAAATTGAAATTAATCCTAAAAATGCCTGCCCTACAGTCAAACATTGTGGCGGTTCACTGATGTTTTGGGGTTGCTTAGCTGCTTTAGGCACTGGATGACTTGACTGTGTGCATAGCATTATGAAATCTTAAGACTACCAAAGAATTCTGGAGTGCAATGTAGGGCTCAGTGTCAGAAAGTCGGGTCTCTGTCAGAGGTCATGGGTCTTACAGCAGGACAATGACCCAAAGCACACATCAAAAAGCACCCAGAAATGGTTTCAGACAAAGCGCTGGAGAGTACTGAACTGGTCAGCAATGAGTCCAGATCTCAATCTCATAAAGAATCTGTGGAGAGATCTCAAAACAGCAGTTGGTAAAAGGAACCCTTCCAACCTAAGAGACCTGAAGCAGTTGTCAAAAGAAGAGTGATCCAAAATTGCAAAAGAGAGATGTAAGAAACTCATTGTTGGTTACAGAAAACGATTGATTTCAGTTATTTTTTTCAAGGGGTGTGCTACCAAATATTAAATTGAAGGTGCTAATAATTTTATCCAGTCTATTTTTGGAGTTGTGGGTGGAATGTGTCTGACCCTGACCTTGCATTTGCACATGTTCACATCACTTCATTTGTTGTGTTATTTGCTTGTTGAATGTGCCTGCTGGCCTCCCTGTTGCCGCCCCCTCTGAGGGAACCCCCTCCCTGCTGATTGCAGGACTTGGCCCCCCCACCCCACCCCCGCGGCGGAGGCGTTGACTGAAGCCTTATGGCCGTCTTCCCTTTGTTGGATTCCTAACCTTTTTTATTGCTTGCTGGAGTTATTTTCCTGGTTTCATTCTGTAGTTATTCTCTACTGTATAGGTTTTTGTTGACATATTTTATCCCATGATGTTTCCCTCTAATAATATATCTAGTAATATATCCCCCTCCTCCCAGGAGGCAGTGGACTAGAAGTATCGTTCTGTTACCCCTCTTCACACACCCCTCTCCTCCTTCCCCCTCGGTCCATTACGCAGACCCTTTCTCCATTGCTCATGGAACCCATCAGAGGTGCCCTCTCTCTCCCCAGCCCTTTTCATCTTGGTCCTGGAACCCTTGGCGGTAGCCCTTCGTGCTGACCCTAACATCACGGGGATTCCCTATGCTGGGGTATCCTACAAAGTGAATCTGTTTGCAGATGATGCCCTCTTGACCCTGTCCAACCCTATCACCACATTTCCTAATCTACACTCTTTACCAATTCCATGGTTTCCCATCTCCAATCTTCCTTCCCTTATCACTGGGCAACCTCATCCCTAAACTATCTTGGCATTCACCTGACCCCTTCCTACTCCTTCCTCTTTGCGGCCAACTATTACCCCCTTCTGCGCACTCCCTCCCCACTCATAACCTCCTGGTATTTCCCCTCTCTGTCGTGGATAAGGCAGATCAACGCGATCAAGATGACTGTGCTCCTTAAACTCCTCTACTTCTTTCGGACCCTTCCAACTAGAGCCCCAGCCTTCTTCCCGCGTTCCCATTAGAATAAGATCCTGGCCTTTATTTGGGCCCACAATTGCCCCAGAGTGGCCCGCACCTCCCTCTATACCCATAGATTAAGAGGGGTCTTGGGGTCCCAAATGTGGCCAAATACTATCTGGCGGCCAAAATCTCACAACTTGCAATTTTTGCATGTTGCCTCGGACATCCTTGTGGGTGCTTCTGAAAATTCCCAATTGTGCTCCTGTCCCGGTTTATGCCCTCTACAGGCTTCCACCTGCCTCCTGTTCTTCCCCCCCTTATGGCTTACAGCTTACACTTTTGGGACTCAGTACACTACTCGGTTAATTTGATGTCCCCCTTTCTCCCGCTACTCCCCCTTCTGGACAATCCTCTGTTCCCCCCTGGACTAGACCTACCCCATGCCTTCACCTGGTGGCCCATCCACGGATATTCTCAAGTACAGCACTTCTTAAATTCCTGCTCCTTTCCTTCTTTGGCCTCCATCTGTGAGACCCATTATTATTATTATTATACAGTATTTATAAAGCGCCAATAGTTTGCTCAGCGCTGTACATTACAAAGGGGGACAGAACATGTGACAGAACAATACCAATACAATGCAAAACATGAGGGG